GTGCACAAAACATTGATGATATAAAATACCTATTTATTCATTTCATCACATTTTTTTAAAGAAAGGAGAACTCTGAAAAAAGTATTTTCTTAAAAGAGGAATGTGATAGTAATTGTAGAAGACAAGCCAATGTATCATACATTTCTCCTAAACTTTATCTGGTTACATTATAAACACTTTGTTGCTATCTCTCTGTTTTTATGAAAATGTCCAACACTTAGCACAGTAGCGCCCTCATCTTAGGACTCCTAAGCACTAAAAAACAATTGTAATAATAAATAATGAGGCGGTATAGTGCTTATCAGATGTGTAACATGAATACATGTGTGTATCTGTGTATGAGAGTTTTTTTACAGATTTTTACACTAGTGTGGACTTCTGTGGTTGTGCTCTAAGGATTTGTATTTGAGATTCAGAAGTGGGCCTTTAAAGAACCCATTGCATCGAATTCAATATGTGAAATAAATACACATAAAATACCATATAGGCATGTGAAATGAAAATTATATTCCTTGGTCTATCATTTCTACCATTGACAAATGTGAACAGTATTCCATTCACTCACAGATTGAACAGAATCATTGCACCAATCAAGGTTGCATTGTACAAAACATTTTTACAAATGGGTGACACTTACCAATCAGGTTTTGTCAAACATTGTTCTTGACAAGTCATTAAGAAAATACCACCAAGGGTGAGTTTCCCTTTTGGATTACCCGTTACCCCTCCAAAAAGTAAAACATCTCCATATACTGTTTTACAAATCATTTCCTCACTAACCTGTCAACTCAAGTCTCTTGCATTTGAAGTTAAATGCACTTTAACTTACTCATCCTTTTATCATTCATCCATTTTGGAAGCAACACTGGCAGACAGGAGTTATATGCTCTGGTGATGAAAATACAGTAGTAATACTATGTCCATTTCTGGCAGCTACATTCAGGTCTGCCAACAAGGGGGAGCAAAACAGGCAACTGTCCTAGGGTTGCCTGGGGAAGGCTAAGTCCAGCCCTGCCAGTTCTGCACAAGGCCTCTCCTCCCCCTTGTCCAGGAACCCAGTGAGTCTGTCTACATTTTAAATGAGATGTTGAAAAATTTGAGATAGTGTAGAAGACAGCCACAAAGATAATTTGAGGACTAGAAAAAATTCCTTACCATGAGCAACTTAAAAAGCTCAGTATGTTTAGTTTATATAAAACAAGATGGAAATGTGACTTCATTAAGGTGTTGAAGTATCTTCATTGGGATGCAATATCAGGCACTAAAAGGCTCCTTAATTTAGAAGAGAAAGGCATCACAAAAACCAACGTTAGGAAGTTGAAGCCAGAAGAAATTTAAAGTAGAAATAAGACACACATTTTTAACAGTGAGAGTGATTAACTATTGGAACAAATTACCATGGGAAGAGGTGGATTCTTCATCTTGTAAGACCTTTAAATCAAGACCTATAAAATTAGGCCTATCCCTATAAAATTAGTGCTGGGATTGAAATGTAGCAGACAGTAGTCTATTGCTCTGATCCTGCAAAGACTTATGCATGTGAGTAACTTTACACATGTGAATTTAATGGAACTACATTCATGTGTAAAGATACATGTTCATTTGTTCATGCAGGATTGAGGCCTATGCACCCAAGAGAAAGAGGGAAGGACACTGAAGAGGAATATGGGAGAAAAAAAGGAAAGGGGATTTTTAAAAACAGTTCTGCTCCCTCTGAAGTCAGTGGACTTAATTTTGGGCCCTCTGATTTAACTTTCTCTCATTTTTTGTCTTTCCCCATACAGAAGCTACTTTTAATTATTTTTAAGTGTTTGGTTTTACAGGCAGTCCCCGAGTTACGCGGATCCGACTTATGTCGGATCCGCAGTTATGAACGGGGTCCTCCCTCTCCCTGGTCTCCAGCAGACCAGGGAGAGGAAGCAAAGCGGCGGAACATGTGGGCAGCGGACAGCCCAGACGCGTGTGGGCTGTCCGCTGCCCGCGTGTTCCGCCGCTTTGCTTCCTCTCCCTGGTCTGCTGGAGACCAGGGAGAGGGAGGACCCCGTTCATAACTGCGGATCCGACATAAGTCGGATCCGCGTAACTCGGGGACTGCCTGTAAAACCAAACACTTAAAAATAATTAAAAGTAGCTTCTGTATGGGGAAAGACAAAAAATGAGAGAAAGTTAAATCAGAGGGCCCAAAATTAAGTCCACTGACTTCAGAGGGAGCAGAACTCTGTCTACATAAAGGCTGCTAGATACAGGCTGTCCTCGCTATAAGTCCAAGATAGATTCCAAAAAACTTGGACTTATAGCAAAACAATTTAAAGCAGGGATTTTTTTTCCCATGGCTGACTTCCATTTGCACAAATTTTTTGGGGGGAGTGGAGGTGGTGACTTAAGAATGGGGAATGGGAGGGCTTATAATGCATGAGTTCTTACAAGTGTCAACGACTTTAGCGTAGAACGGATGTATACCAGGGTGACTTATAGCGGGGACACCCTGTATAGAAAAATGTTATTTTATACAGTGTTTTGATTCTATGATTTAATGGCTATTTCTATTAAAAAATTCTGAACTTTCTTCTAGACTTGAGCTAATAAAGAAGAGGTACTGCCTGTCCCACACAAAACCCTGTTAGGATTCCATGGATCCACAACAGTCTCTTTGAAAACTTAACAATGACAGGTACACACTGGTTATGACTCCACAATTAAGGTTGTGTGGAATTTATCATTTAAAGCAGGAATTTACATTCATTTGTCATTTGATACAGTCTGTCAAAAATAATATGAAGATTTAATTCTTAACCCTTGGGGTCTGTCGTTCCAGGTGGAGGCATTTAAATCAATGATACTTCACAGGTATGCAGAGTGCCATCCTCAGAGTCAGTTTAAGATTGGAATTTAAATTCCAGGGTAATTAATACCTTATATTCAGATTGTGTCGCAGTTTAAATTGGCTAATCAATTATTACACTATTCTACAGTTTGTTTTATACATTTCATGCTAAAAGTAGCTGATTTCTGAGATTTTTTCCCCCTAACTGTATATCCCTAGCCTCTCTTTGCCAGGGCTGGGGCTGAGGTTGAGGCTGGGAGGGATTGCTTGATGTTTATCTGTTCTGTTCATCCCTCTGTGACACCTGGCCACTGTTGAGGACAGGATACCGGGCTAGAGAAGCTTCAGGATCTCTACCAAGCATTTATAAATCTCAACTACCCACCCAGAGAAACAAAAAAGCAAATTGAAAGAGCCAGACGAATACCTAGAAACCATCTACTTCAAGACAGACCCAAGAAAACCAACAATAGAACACCACTTGTCATCACCTACAACCCCCAACTTAAACCTGTCCAACACATTATCAATAAACTACAGCCTATATTGGAACAGGATACCATACTCAAAGAGGCTCTGGGAGACAGACCCATAGTCTCCTATAGACAACCACCTAACCTCAAGATGATTCTTACCAACCACCACAGGACATACCACACTAATACCAACCCTGGTACCTTCCCTTGCAACAAACCCCGTTGCCAGCTTTGTCCACATATTCATTCTGCTGATACCATTATTGGACCTAACCAAGTGAGTTATAAGATCAAGAACACATATTCCTGCGCATCCAGAAATATAATCTACGCTATCATGTGCCGAAAGTGTCCGTCTGCTATGTACATTGGACAAACATCTCAGACACTTCGCCAAAGGATTAATGCCCACAAAACAGATATCAGACAAGATCACAAAGAGAAAACAGTTTCTTGCCACTTTAACCAGAAAGGACACTCTCTAAATGACTTAGCCACCTGCATTCTGCTACAAAGACCTTTTACATCTGCACTTGAAAGGGAATCCTCTGAACTGTCATTCATGTTAAAATTCGACACTTACCACCAGGGACTTAACAAGTCTTTGAACTTTCTCACCCATTATCAAGACAGTTTCCCCAATTATCACCTGTAATACCATTAACTCACAAACATCCCACTCTCCCTACCTCTAATATCATCAATTCACAGACACTTACCTTCCTTCCTCCCCCTTCCCACCCCCCCGCCTCCTCCTTCTGTTCTGCAATGTGATTTGTCCTTTTCATATTTGTTCTTTTTTTTAATTGTATCCTTTGGTATATATGGTTGTGACTACTTTCTTCCACTATTTGATCTGAGGAAGTGGGTCTGGCCCACGAAAGCTCATCATCTAATAAACCATCTTGTTAGTCTTTAAAGTGCTACATTGTCCTGCATTTTGCTTCAACTACCCCAGACTAACACGGCTACATTTCTATCACTATACACAAGGCAGTTCTTAAAAACTAACTAGGGTTTCATTGTTTCTATAAAATATTGCTCTAGTGCAGTAACATGATATGGGGCATTACCAACACAATTCCTTTCTTCCTGAGCAGGGTCATTGGGGCTATGTCTACACATCAAAGTTATTTCGGGATACCAAAGGTATCCCACGTCTTTTGAATGCCTCTGCTATTCTGAAATATAGTGGATGAGCTATTTTGGCATCCCAGTAAACCCCATTACATGAGGGATAAGGGATGTAGACTCCAAATAAAAGATCTTATTTCGAGTTTAAGGTGCAGTGTAGACACATGCTAGGATACAGTGTGTGGGGGGGGAAGAAGTACTTCTTAGCCTAGTAGTGTCTATTTTCTGGTCTTGCAGCAGATGGCTAACTGGCAGAGTAACTAGTAACACTGGAAGCTGACTGCTGAGAACACTGTTGGCATATAGGCTGTTGTTTCTGTGGGAGGAGGAGGTACAGGGAAGGCCGCCCAGAGGAACAGAAAGGGCATGAGGAGGCCCCCATATAGCCTCCACGGGCAGTCGTTGGTGGAGTCATTGGGAGCGAGGCGCTTTTCCAGAAGCGTTGCAGGATCTTAGCAGTGCGAGGCGGGTGTTGCAGAGGGCGCTGTGTAGGGCGGCCGGGAAGCTGCACAAGCATCTCTGCTCTTGCTGTTTCCTCGATTAAGCAGCTTCCTGGGCTGGCTGCAGGCACGCCCCGCACCACGCGAGTTCACCAGGCAGGCAGCTTGACTGGGAGTATCCTCGGCGATCTCCAGGGAGTGTCAGAAGGGGCCCGGGCAGAAGAGCTTCACGCGGCGCCCATATGGAGACAGTTTTCATGGAGATCAGGCGGAAGATGCAGAGCGGGCTGCTGATTATCCGGTATTGCAGAGGAGCGGCTCAGTCCGCTTCCTCCTCTCTGCGTGGGGCCGAGCCCCTTACCTTGCTTACCGGCTGTGGCTCTTCAGCAGCTCCTGTTCTGGGGGGCAATATGGAGATAGCGCATCTGCAAGCCTGGCTCTTAGAACCCCAGGCGCTGGGGGGGATGACAACCCCCCCCCCCCAACTTTTAGATGTCTCTAACGCTTGTTGTGTAGCTTGACTGGTGATTACCTAAGCACAGTCTTTCACTATTCCACTTGTGCATGCACAGCAGCTTATAATCTCACAAAGTAAAGATACATTTTACTCTGAATGTAATTTCTAATCTTAACAGTCATTGCATATCAACTGAAAACATTTAGATGGTGTTCCTGTATTTACTAGACATTTATCTGATTCTGTTTCATATATTCTTTAAACTCCAAACTTCATTGCATAGATAAACTTGCTTGTCGGACTTTTCCTCTCAACAAATACTTAAATCACTTTCAACAATAGCATTTGCAGATTTGCCAACATCCACTATGTGGGCATCGTACATGATTTGTGAAATTCGGTATCTTGACTGAATTCCATATGTAATAAAAAGTGTAATATTAATTGCTGTGCATCTTGGAAAAAGTTGACCTAGTGAATTTCAAAGGCACATCAAACCTATACAGAAAGTATTAAAAATGACTTTTTCCTTTCTGATTCCTGCAAAATACTGTTTTTACATTTTAAACATATTGGTTTGTTTTTCAATGCCACCCTGATAATATGCCCTGGGAACAGGCAACTATTAACTTTAGGAATTGATCCATTTCCTCCTAAAGTTTTAATCTGCTCTGAAGATTCAGTGGGAATTTTATGAGTGCAAGGAATTCAGGTTCAGATCCTTTGGACCCAGTGCTATGCACATTCTCATTCATTGGGAATTTTGCCAGTGATTTAAATGGAAGTAAGATTGGGTGTTATATTTATAATTATTTTGGCCTTTATACTGCATTATCTTTTTAGTATGTAAACATTTCATTGTCTCTCATTTTTGTGTAATTTTAATTTTAACATTTGACTGGGATTTTTGACAAACAATTAAAACTGTTTTCCTTTACATTTTGTTTCATAATTTTAAGGTTAAAAACAGTTACATTACTGCCTTGTTTCCCAATCAGTAAATCTTTTTTGTACTGATTTGGGGATTGCAGAAAAGCATGCATTAATTTTGTTTATAAGCTTTGTACATTTCTTAAAGTTTGACTCAACAAAAATTGCATCAACAGCCACAAAGTTTAAGAAGATGAAAGAAGCATTTCACCTTTGAGAGAATTTTAGTTTGTTTCAACAAGTCAACATTATATGTGACTAAACCCTCATTTTAAAGTTTTCTTTCTAACTGAAGCAAATATGTGTGTGTTTTTAAATCTCTAGTGAGCCAAATGCAGGAAGTTTGCCAGTGGATATTTCAGTGTCTCCAGGATCATTAGAGATAAAAAGCTGTCAAGGCTGCAATATGATCAGCTTTCCTGAAGAGGTCAGGATTGTTCCTTCTTCCTGCCGAGGACTACAGTACATAGCTGGAGATGGTTTACATGTGAGGCTGCAAATTGAAGCAGATTCAAATACAAGTGAGGACGACCAGATATTAGTGTATTTAATTCCTTAAGAAGAAAAGCAAGACCATTGTTTAGAAAATATATTTTTATTTGGGGATAATTTAATATTTTACAGCTATTTCCAATATATGAGAGAAGAAAAAAGTGACAAAAATTAACTAGATTTCATGATATGCAGAACTTTCTTCTCTTTATGATTTTTTTAAAAGTTTTTCATTAATGTTAAATTAAAAATTAAATAGGAATTGATTTCCAAAACTCTGCTTGATTAAAACAAACTCCTACTACAACTTTGATAGGAAAATGCAAAAATAGAAAAGAGAATAAAAAGGGAAGACACACAATTGCAAGAAAAGCCCCATTCTTCAATACTCACTCCTACTTTACCATCTGATTTGAGAGTTTCTTCTTCTGTATTTTGCTCTCTCACACAGACTCAAAGAGCAAAATCTAATTCATTCCAGCCTGTTTCATAAGGATGTCACTAATCCCATCTTTGTTAAGAACTGTTGTCTTGTTTTGTGGTCCTTTGTGTCATTGCACAGATGGTCAGAATTCAGTGTTTAAAATTGCAAAACTGACTATACAGTATTTTCAAGATGGTAAAACTGGTCATAAATTTTCTTTTCTTATTTCTGATTTCATACATTACAAATGTTAAAAGGGTGATGCATGACACACTGGGTTGTCTTTCTTTCTCCTCTTTCTATTTCATATACCATATTTGATAGCTAAAGTGAAAAATTAAGGTATTTTTCACAGGACACAATGGAAAGCCACATAGTACACTGAATTTGGTGTCATGTCATATTCCTTTTTTTTTTTTTTTTTTTTTTTTTTAAATTACAGGTTGGACCTTGCACCCTCGGGACCTGACTGGTCCTGACGAGGGCATTTGTCAGATCAGGAAAGGTCCCTCCCCACCTGGCTGTGCTGCCACAGGGCTAGGGCTCCAGCTTGCCGCTGTTGCTGCCTCAGCCCCTTCAGGGTCGTGTGCCATGGTCAGAGCTGTGCAGCCGGGGCAGAGCTCTTCAGCTGCCTGGCTCTGTGGCTTGGGCCAGAGTTCTGTGGCCAGGGTGAAGGGACAGGGCTGGAGCTCCCTGGCTGCCACTGGGGCTGGAGATCCCCAGCCTGTGAAGCATGAACCCGGCTGGAGTGCTGGGGACGGGACCAGAGGTCCCTGGCACGGGCCGGAGGTCCATGGCCCACGGCCAGGCTAGAGCTCCCCACCATGCCATCAGTTCTCCCTTCCCTCTTCCCACACACGCCCTGGATTCCCAGCTGAGTTGCCAGTGTCCCTTATGGCGCTTCTACCCCACTGCCAGACCTCCCTCTTCCTGGGCTCTGTGGTCCAGGAACATCCGTGGTCCATGCTGGATCACGGTTCTTCCCAGACCAGGGAGTCCCGGTTAAGGGAGGTACAACCTATAGAGACAAATTCTACTACCAGTAGTAGTGTCCACTGTATGTATGTAGATTACAAGACAGGAGCTTTTACACGGGGGGGAAAAAAGTGGAATTCTATGGCTTATTTTGTGCAATACTGAGGTGGTTTATGCATGTTACTGTTTGTGCATCTGAATTGAAAAATCATTTTGTAATTGTTTCTCATTAAAGAAGTTATGTAATATGATTCAGAAGTAAACATGTAAACTACATTTTCAACCTGAAGTTGCACCAATGAAAAAAATGTGAAACTTGCATTTATATATGTAAGATGGCTGACTAGACATATGCACAAATTAGGTATTTTTAAATTTGTTTGTATTGTGATGCACAGTTACTCAGCTTGTATGTGACACTTTAGAATAAAAAACCACAGTGTATTCATGATGCTGATTTTTTTTCAAAAGTTAAAGATTTCAAGTTACATCCCTTAGATTATGCATAAAATTCCAAAATTTCACACACATGCCAAATAACAATGCATTGTAATACAAACTAGTATTTTAAAATATTTGATTGTGTGTATGCATGTAATTGACGCACACCCCTGACTGGCACATACCCATGCAGGTTTCAGATTTTTTACTAAGGCAACCTAGGGCTCCCACTTTGAATATGTGGTCTACTTCTGCACCACATTAAATAAGTTCAGATTCTTCTGTTTAAAATGGTATACTTTTAGCATTGTTTTAATTCAAAGTCACATTTATTATTTTTAGTTCTCTATTGTAACTGGGAAAATATGTTCTCAGAAATACCTTTAGTTGGAGTGTTTTCACTTTGCTGGCCAGCAGGGAGGATTGTTATATTGGAGACTGTCATTTTTCGTCCAGAGAGAGAGAGAGAGAGAGTATATTTTGTTGCTACGTTTATACCTCTACTTAGATGACAGTTTAGAATATTGCTTTTTTTGGTCTTTTTGAACTACTTAATGTGGAAGCACCATCACATGGCAATTAGAGATCAGCAGAGCTAACGTTAATAGGGTTAAGATTTAATTTACCAGAAATGTAACTTTAAAAGGATTCTCTTTTCCCTGTTAAAAACTTCATCCTCTCCAACATAAGCTTACAACACTGTTAAAAATGTCTATTCAAATAGAGAGTATATATATTACAAATAAATGCTAAATGCTGTGAATATAGGTTGTATTTTCCTTCAGTTCTGTTTGCCTATTCTTTTCTTGTAAGCAGGAAGGATGTTGAAGAGTACAAAGAATGTGGTGTGTGAAATGCCAGTGTTTTTCTTCTTGCTTTTAGACTCTCTGCTTTCTGGAATTAATAAGTGGACACCTATGTGTTTTATGTGCAAATTTATGTAGATTGAACAAGAACTTGACTTTTTTATGTCCTCTTTAAAATCTGCAGAATTAATTTCAACTTTGAGTGAAAGTCCAGAGGTACAGAAGAGTTGCATCTTTTACTGTCAGTCTTGTGGTGAAATCATAATAAAAGAACGGTAAGCAATTCAATTGTATATGTTATGTATTAATAAATGCTTCATAACTTAAGAATGGCTAGACTGGGTCAGACCAAGTATAGTAGGTGTCTTCGAAGAGTGGCCAATGCCTAGTGCTTCAAAGAGAATGAATAGAATGTAATCATAAAGTGAGCCGTCCCCTGGCACCCATTCCCAGCTTCTGGTAAATAGAGACTAAGGACAATATCCTTGCCCATCTTGGTTAATTGCAATAGATTAATAGAGACTAGTTTAATATAGTTATTTTTTTAACCCTCTTGTAGTGTTGGTCTTCACAACATCCTCTGGCAAAAATGTTCACAGGCTGACTGTGCTTTGTGTGAAGAAATGCTTCCATTGTTTGTAGTAAAACTGCTGCCTATTAATTTCATTTGGTGACCTCTAGTTCTTGTGTTATGAGGAGTAAATAGTAGGGATGTAAGTGACTAGTCGACTCCCCGATAAGCATGTGCTTATCAAAGAGAGGCAGTAGTTGTGGGGGAGCAGGAGCTGGTGCTGGGGAAGCTGGCTTAAAAGCCATTTCCCCCCTGCACCATCTCTGCGGGGGGCAGGAGAGGCAGAAACATCCCTAATGCTGCGCCTCTCCCTTTGAAATATACACGAGCCACCTGCAGCGCTTGTACATTCTAAACAGAGGCACAGCGGGATAGCGAGAGCTCCCCCTATCAACTAATCAAGTAGTCGATGGAAATTCCATTGATTACACTACTCAGTTGATTGATCGAAATTTAACATCCCTAGTGTAAATAGCACTCCTTTTTTATAATAAATTATTTTATAGACCTCTATCGATCTCCCTCTTAGTTGTCTCTTTTTCAGGCTGAAAAGGCCCGGTTTTGTTAATCTTTCCATGTATGGAAGCTTTTCCATTCTCCTAATCATTTTTATTGTCTTTTTCTGTACCTTTTTCAGTTCCAGTTCCTTTTTTGAGATGAGGCAACTACATCTGCATACAGTATTTAAGATGTGATATGCCATGGTTTTATATAATGGCAATATGATATATTTTATCTTATTATCTATCCCTGTCCTAATGTTTCTCAGCTTTCTGTTACCACTGGTTGCCATTTATGTCATTCATTCACTAAGATGAACAGGTTAAAAGTTATATTTTAAAAGCCTCTTGACCTGTTAGTTGTGTACACCGTAGATTGTTAACAGTGAAATTATCCTAAACAAATCTTTCATTATTTGTTTACATTTGGCATGTCACTCAACTTAGAAAATAATGAGAGTAGGGAGATGATGTGTTTCAGTGGTTAGGGCAGAAAATTGGAATTTAGGAGATCTGGGTTCTTTTTTGTGGCTTTACACTATACCAGGAAAGCCATTTCCCCTGTCTGTACTTCAGTCTTCCTATCCGTGGAATGAAGATGAGTCTTATCCTCTTCAGTATTTTGGGGTATAGGGCTTTTTATCCATACATAAGGAAGTATAGTTATAGGCCAGTTTACTTTTCTGGGTCTGTTACAAAATACTGAAGTGCTTTGTTAGTGTATTGCAAATACTTCAGGAAAAAGTTTTAAGACAAAGATTATTTAATAAAAATTAATATTTCTTAAATAATAACGTATACATGCAAGGATGTGGACGCATTGGAGATGGTCTAGCGGAGGGCAACCAAAATGATTAGGGGGCTGGAGCATATGACCTACAAGGAGAGGCTTGGGGCTGTTTAGTCTGCAGAAGCAAAGCGTGAGGGGGGATTTGATAGCAGCCTTCAACTTCCTGAAGGGAGGTTCCAAAGAGGATGGAGAGAGGCTGTTCTTAGTAGTGATGGATGGCAGAACAAGGAGCAATGGTCTCAAGTTGTGGTGGGAGAAGTCCAGGTTAGATATTAGGAAAAACTATTTCACTAGGGGGGTGGTGAAGCACTGGAATGGGTTACCTAGGGAAGTAGTAGAGTCTCCATCCCTAGAGATTTTTAAGTCTAGGCTTGACAGAGCCCTGGCCGGGTTGATTTAGTTGGGATTGGTCCTGCCTAGGGCAGGGGGCTGGACTTGATGACCTTCTGAGGTCTCTTCCAGCTCTATGATTCTATGGTTTTGTATCCTTCTGCATTTCAGGAATCTTGGTTGGTTCTGCTCATTTTGTCCTATTAATTCTCTCTTGTCAAAAAGTTATATTTGTGATGAACCAGAATAGGTGTTGGGGCAAAGCTACCTTTTTTCTTCCAGGGAAAGGGTAAAATTAGTTCTTGCCCTGAAAGTTAGAATCATGATAATGAAATATTATACAGTTTTTCTGAAGACTTTCTGTAGTGGTTATTAGTCTCGGGGGTTGCTGTGTTAGTCTGTAACTTTTTAAAAATGAGTAGTCCTGTGGTACCTTATTGACTAACAGAAATATATATAGTATCATGAGCTTTCATGGGCAAGACCATCTGAAGAAGTGGATTTTGCCCACGGAAGCTCATGATACTGTGCGTGCGCACTGAGCACCCTCTACTCCAGAGAATGGGTACTGTGACCAGTAACACATGTCGGTGTTAAAATGTTCTCTCCCATTCTTCCTGTTCCGATGATTTCAAAACCCTAGGTGCGAACTCCTTCAAATTTGGTACTCCTTCATATCTGGAGCTGAACTCCTTCATATCTGGAGCTGAACTTCTACTGCTAAATGGGCCAAATCGACTTCTCAGATTTGAGCAGCCCATATCCTTCACAAGTGTTTAAGCTGTACCTGAATTTTGTGTGTCTGACACATCTCTTTCTCTTTCTTATGAAGTCTGAAGTTGGGATGTTAGAGTTTAACCAGTTAACTGACAAGATCATCTTATTGGTTAAATGCTGCCCAACAGCTTTCTTCATGGGAGCAGGGCCAGCTGCAGAGCCCACAAGGAAGCCTCCTATGTGGGTCCTGCACTCTTCTCCATGCCTGAGCACACAGGAGATCAGGTTGAAATAAAAATATCCAGAATGTGAGGCATGGCAGTGGCTCTCCACCATCTCTTTTCACAGAGCCTTTTGAAGCCCCTTGGTTTGGCTGAGTTACATCAATCTGGAAGGGCATGACAGCATGGATACAAAGCACTCTCTCTCCTTTCCCACACTGCCTCATTTCCAAGCTTAAGTCAGTACTGTAGTTAATGGTGTTAGAAACAACATTAATTCTTTCTGGCTTTGGCCTCAACAGGAGGAGGGGTAGTGAGCAGATATGACAGATAGCTTGTTATACATAGATGTTGGGGGAGAGAGGGTGAAAAAGGCTGCAAAGCTATGTGGAGGTCTTCCTTGCAGTTTATCAGAGATCAGCTAAGTTAGAACTTGATTCTTTCGATGAGTCTCATGGCTCTCCCAAGATACAGAATCATGCCCTCTGCCCCTTCCATACTACTCAATGAAGGGTAGATTGTCAGGATGCTTTTCTTTCCTACTGATTATAGTGTAAAAGAGTTGATTATAGACAAAAGGTACACCTTTCAAGGCTTTGCTTCCGTCATTCAGTAGCTTTCAGAGAGCAGAGCAGAATGTAATTTAAATTAATTTTCATGCATTATCTTTTAAGGAGATTGCCCTTTCCATCAGGCCAAAAATTATTGTTGCTATACAAGAGATTTACATATGCATTGCAAAATTTAATGCAGAATACTGTGTGTTAATTACATTACATTTATTACAGTTATGACTGAATTCCCAAATGTTATGGAGCAAATATCTGATTACTTAATTTATGTTGAAGAAAGTTATATTATTCTAAACTCAATGAGGGATTTTTTTGGTGGGGTGGGGAGTAGGCTACATATTTTAAAGGCATCTAATTGTATTTTAAATGTCATAATGCAAATCAATTTTCATTAGAGAGGATTTTAATGTATACTTTCTGAAAAATGTTAATGTTGGACAACAGTTTGAGAGTTTATATACATTAAAAGAGAGAGTGTCTTACAATAGGGTGGGTAGAGTGTCTTACAATAGGGTGGGTTCTCATTGAGGGCCTGGGCCCCTGGTAAGCCCATGTGGTTGTATTAGATGGGCTTTAGTAGATTGTTGCTCAATACAATTCAAAGTCGTCTGAAATTGAACGGGTGCTGCATTAAATTAATGTCATGTATCTAATTCTAGAGAAAGATAAAGGCCCAGAGCCTGGCTGCCCATTCACAGATGTACAAAGTGCCAAATGTAATAGAAGAGCTATATTTGTGCATAGGATGGACAAGCCAGAGGAGTAGATGGGCTGTGCAGTCCCTTTTATAAGGCAAACTCTGGCAGGCTGCTATTATGTAAGGTGGTGGGGTACTGTGGTGGAGACTACAGGTCTCTGGGAAGGCAAGGTGGGTGACTCTGGACTGCGGTAAAGATCACGCAGTGACAGGTGCCAGTTTACAACAGGCTTTGTAATACTTTTACATTATGTAATACAGACTGGGTACTGCCAAGAAAGTGATTTTATATAATTGTAGCTGGTTCAGGACCCTAGAGATTTTTAATATATTTCAGCTCTCCTCTGAAGACAGTATTGATTTTGATAAGGTGCTAACAAAATTTGAAATGTATTGTTATCTAGAAAGAAGGAAACCTGTGAAATATTTCACTTCTACGTGAGAGTACAAAAGGCATAAGAAAGTATCCAGGAAAATATTGGCCTCTTAAGAGACTAGAGAGACATAATAGTGCTGGACTGCAGTGATGGGAAAATATGTAAGCATCTGCTCAGAGATTGTGAGTTGCCCTTAACAACACATCTGTGGGACAAGAGCGCTAGTTTGTGGACCACTAGTGGTCCATGACCATCTTGCAGGTGGGCTTGGTGCTCTCCCACTACACCTCCCGCAGTGGAGAATCTGCACTGGCACTCCCCCCACAAGCTTGGAGCATCAGTAATGGCTTCCCACCTGTGCTGCCATTCCAGCTGGGGGAATGGCAGCACAGGAAACAGCTCGCCTGGAAGCTTTCCCCACTGCTCCCCACTCCAGCAAATCGAAGAAGCAGGGGTAGTGTGTAGGAGCTACAGGGGGCATGGAACCAGTTAAGTGCCCCCTCCCCCCATCTCTTTCATGTCCAGACCCTACAGCCCATTCCCCTCTCACACATTTCTTGCCCCAAGACCACACATGCCCAGCCCGCTCCTGGTCCCTCCCTCCCACCCAGATCCCCCTCACTCTCAGCTTGCTCCTGCACCCAATCTCCAGGCCAGAACCCCCAACCCCTGCCCTCTCCTGCATATACAGGCAGTCCCCGAGTTACGCGGATCCGACTTATGTCGGATCCGCAGTTACGAACGGGGTTCCTCTCCCTGGTCTCCAGCAGACCAGGGAGAGGAAGCAAAGCGGCGGAACACGTGGGCAGCGGACAGGGCTGTCCGCTGCCCACGCGCTCCGAGGCTTGGCTCTGCTTTGCCCCCTCCCCCCCCGTCCCCCTGGTCTGCAGCCCAGGAGGAGAGGGGGGGGCAAAGCAGAGCTGTCGGATCCGCAGTTACGAACGGGGTTCCTCTCCCTGGTCTCCAGCAGACCAGGGAGAGGAAGCAAAGCGGCGGAACACGTGGGCAGCGGACAGGGCTGTCCGCTGCCCACGCGCTCCGAGGCTTGGCTCTGCTTTGCCCCCTCCCCCCCCGTCCCCCTGGTCTGCAGCCCAGGAGGAGAGGGGGGGGCAAAGCAGAGC